TTGCTTTGTCAGCCAACAGAAATCTGGAAAAAGTACCTCTGAAGTTCTGTCAGCAACTTTTATCTTTCTCTTCTCTTCTCTTCTCTTCTCTTCTCTTCTCTCCTCTCCTCTCCTCTCCTCTCCTCTCCTCTCCTTCTCCTTCTCCTTCTCCTTCTCCTTCTCCTTCTTGCCTTTTTTACAGGTTTCTTGGACCACCCACTGTGTCTAGAGAGTCAGATTCTTAGCTGGTGTATTGGAACTGCAGTCAGATTGGGCTAAAACATCTGGAGAAAAAAAGGCCCCTGGATAATTACTGAATTTTAAATAATTACCCATTCCATCTTCTTCTTTCTTTTTATTTATTTATTTTATTTTATTTATTTTATTTTTTTTATTTATTAAGGTTTAGTATACTCCAGTAAAGTATAATGTAATCAATTAAAGTACAATGCTCACCTTACACACCAAATACGCTAACCTGTCCTGGAACATAGAGCTTTTTCCTTGTAACCTGTGTGCATCTCTTTAAAAATGTTAAAATATTTGGGGCGTATCGTTCTGGTTAGAAACATGTAGGTTGTCTGCTTGCTGTGTCTGTTTCTGCAGCTGGAAACTTTCAAGGTCTGTGTGTTGCCGAGCACAATTTGTTGACCTTGTATCGTAAATCAAAAAGTGATGGGCTCTGCAAGAAAAATCCCAAATGAGACTTCCTGCTCACTGGATTTTAAGGTTTACGTTCACTCAATATTTAGAATTATATTTCTGTAGGCCTTAGTATTTTTTCTTTCCTTGTATATTTATTTTTAAATCTAAAATCAGTATTGCATACTGTAGTGAGGAAGCTACAAAAAAATTCTATAGAGTGGGGAAAAGTTGAAAAAAAGGCTTATTTTGAAAGTAGCTTAATTTTGGAGCATGGTGACCATTTGCCTTCTGTTTCTTGGTGCTATGATAAGAGGACAGTCACTGGGCTTTCCACACTGGGCTGTGCATTTCATGTAAAATATTCTGCTTTAGCAGCACCTCTTGCTGTCCTTCAGTGGTGTAACTGTTGGGAGAGACAGTGTCAAACATGCCCGGAGCGTTGCTGGGAGGTGTTTAGCGCTTCTGATTTGAAATTCCTCTGATAAAGGAGATTCCACAGTCTCACAGCTATTTCTAGTTCATCGCTACCCTGTAGAGAGACCTCTTCCTAATATCTAACCTATGTTGTCTTCACCGTAGATTTAGCTCTGTCTTCCTCCTCCGGTGCTCGATGAGGCAGGTTTGTCAGTATATCATAATTACGTGAAAATAGTTGTCATGTTTGTCATTAGCTACCTCTTTTTTAGTTTAAGCAGTTTCCCACCAGTTGTACGCCACACGCCTGTTATTTTCATCGTGCTCTTCTGGACTCTGGTGTTCTGTCTAGCCTTTTCTTTAACAGTAGTGCCCAATGCTGTATTTTGGGGTGTTGCTAGCACCAGGTCATTGGTGTAATACGCTGCTGTGTTTTACCTCCTCTGCTTTTGAATAAGCCTGTAATACTTCACAGCGCTTTCGGCAGCATTGCATTGCTGATGCCTATTTATTTGTGATCTGTGGAACTTCTACTGCCTCCACAGTTGTTTCTTCCCATGATTTTTATGTATTGGATTTTTCCTGCCAGCTGCTTCATATTTGTTTTTATTGAATTTCATCTTGTTGACTCTGGGCAATTTGGTCACTTTGCGGGAAGACCTGGCCTGTAAAGGATGTTGTGACATAATCTCTGTTCCATCATTCAAATCATTACTGAAGAGGGAAGCAAAACCTCTTCGGTGACCTCAGTTAAAATGCCTTTTAGTTTGATATTGAACTGCTAACTATTTGAGTTTTCTCCTGTAGTGTTCTTGAGCAGCTCTGTGCCCAGTTAATTAACATATTCAATGATCACAAAGGTGCGTTAACATTCAGATAAATTACACCTGTTCCTTTCATTAAAACATCTGTCAAAGAAGAAAATTACAATAGTTTTAATTTACTTGTTTATTGTGTTGATTGTTTCTTATGGACTTGTTATCTAGATGTTTATAAAAAGACTGTTTCAAACAATCTATTCTAGTATAGTTGTGGAAATTAGAAGTTGCCTGGTTGACCATCTAATATTCCCTGAACTTCTCACTTACAAAAAATTGGGACTGGAAACTGGCTGGGCTGAACTGACAGACTCGAAGGGTTGTGACCAGCAGCACAAAGTCTAGCAGGAGGCCAGTCACTCACTGGTGGTGTACCCCAGGGGTCCATACTGGGGTCAGTAGCATCTTCATTAATGACCTGGACGAGTGGATGGGAGGCTGCACCCTCACCAAGTTTGCAGGTGATAATAAAATTGGGACGAGTAGTTGATGCATCTGACAGTTGTGCTGCCATCCAGAGGAACCTCGGCAGGCTGGAGAAATGAGCCGACAGGAACCTCATGAGGTTCAACAAAGGGAAGTCCTAAGAAGGACATTGAGGTGCTGGAGAGGGTCCAGAGAAGGGCAACAAAGCTGGTGAAGGGTCTTGAGAATAGGTCTTATGAGAAGCGGCTGAGGGAACTGGGGTTGTTTAGTCTGAAGAAAAGAAGGCTGAGGGGAGACCTTATTGCTCTCTACAGGTACCTTAAAGGAGGTTGTAGAGAGGTGGGTATTGGTCTCTTCTCACAAGTTACACCAATAGGACAAGAGGAAATGGCCTCAAGTTGTGCCAAGGGAGGTTTAGGTTGGACATTAGGAAAAATTTCTACACTGAAAGGGTTATCAAACACTGGAACAGACTGCCCAGGGAAATGGTTGAATCTCCATCCTTGCATGTATTTAAAAGCCATCTAGATGTGGTGCTCAAGGACATGGTTTAGAAGTGGGCCTGGCAGAGTTAGATAATGGTTGGACTTGGTGATCTTAAAGGTCTTTTCCAGCCATAATGATTCTATGAATCTATGAATGATTCTATTCCTCCCCTGAGGAGGAATAACCCCAGGCATGAGTGAATGCTGGGGGCATCTGAAAAGCAACCTTGCAGAAAAGAACTTGGGGGTCCTGGTGGACACCAAGCTGAACGTGAGCCAGCAAAGGTGGCCACCAGCCTCTTGGGTTGCACTAGAAGAAGCATTGCCAGCAGGTCGACTGAGATGATCCTTCCCCTCTACTCGGCCCTGGTGAGACACATCTGTGGTGTTGTGTCCGGTGCTGGGTTTCCCAGTACGAGACATGTGGACATACTGGAGTGAAAGGCCGTAAAGATGATGAAGGGCTTGGAGCATCTCCCATAGAAGGAGAGGCTGAGAGTGCTGGGGTGCTTTAGCCTGGAGAAGAGAGAGCTCTGAGGGAATCTTAATGATGTGTATAAATACTTGTTAGGTTCTTATCAAACTTACTAAAAAAAAAAAAATAAAAAAAAAGGAATAAAAAAAAGGGCAAGAAAAAGAGACTGTCTAGGGAAATGAGTGTTTCTAATGTGCAAAGGCATACTCCCCACTCCCTCCAAAAAAAAAGAGAAAAACCCAACAACTGTTTTTTTGCCATTTCTTACTTATTTCTTAATATCATTGCTCAGGCTGTCAAAGCTTCTTGTCCCTTCTGTATCCCAAAAATAGCATCCAGAGAACCCAGGATTGTTGTTTGAATGATTAAATACTGTTTGAACCTTGGAGGGTTAGGGCAGATCTTTTTAAGTAGAACTCAGGTTTAAATGTAAGTCTGCTTTTACTGCTAGTTTGAACTCAAATATAACATTTTATATATTATATATATATTTATATTTATAACACTTTACCCTAATGTTTTCACATAAAATTATTTTGGATGTTCACATTTTTGATGCAGAATAATGAAATACAATAGTACTGATGAAGGAAAAGGGAAAAAAAAAAAAGGGGGTAGTTTACACAGTTACCATTATAATGTCTTGTGTGACCTAATTTTAAGTCACATGCCAGAGGACTTAGAAAAGGGAAATGGTCTCATTGTAAGATTTTTTTTTCTCTGAAAGTCATTGTAAACTTTTCCTATTCAAATTTTTATCACACTTTCTGATCTGTGTCAACACGCAGCAGCCTACAGTTCTGTGTGTTTATAACCTTCAAATAGGCACTGCTGCCAGCATTTCCATTGCTTTTCACTTAAGCTGGCTGCATCTGATCATCGCCAAAACTTCTTGAACCCTTGAAAATAAGTGCAAGCGTTTTCTAAAACACTAGAAATTTTTCTGCAAGGTTTTTTGCCTCCTGAGTGATGGTATAAATATGGCCCAGTGTATCTAGAACAAAACAGTATTTTCTCACTCTCGAGCCTTTATCTGCCAAAGCTGGCATGGATTAAGGCAGGTTCTGAATTTAAAGCATTGTATAGCTATTCCTGAAACAGCTGTACGTAAGAGCAGATCTACAGTCAGGGTGCAACAGCTTGTTGCTGTCTCAAGGAGGACGGCTTCCTCCTTTCTCCCCTACACCCTTCCAGTCATCTCCTTATCTCACCAACCTGGCAGAAAGCTCTCCAAAGTTTTGATTTACTTCTTTTTCCTCCTTGAGTTCATTTTCTTCAGCATTTTTGAGTCACTGTGCAGGTGGTAAAGAGGAGGTGAGAGCACTGAGCCCCAGCAGAGAGAATGGGAGGAAGAAGTAGGACGTTCCCCTCTCAGTGCTGGGGATCTGCTCAATTTGCTTACTGGCTTTTATAATCTCGAGCAAGACTGGATTATTTCGTGCTATTGTTTATTATTATTTTATTATTTATTATTTTATTCCAGGCTATTTCAAGTGGCATTGTTTGCTGTGTTTCTTGCCCTCCTACCCTGGTTTGGATTTCATACGTTGGTTTTTTTAACTTCTACAGGAACGGCTCAAAGTCCAGGAGAAACAGGAGAATCCTTTTTGGTGGATTCAGACAGGCTTTCGTTCTGGCTTATCAGGAATAGAAATAAAGTGTAACTTTTATAATAACAGTTGTAAAATCTTCACGATCCAGAACGTGCCAAAGTAG